GTTGCTTAACCAACTGAGCCACCCAGGCGCCCTGACCGAGCGTTTCTATCCCTGGCACCCGACCCGGTGTAGAGTCTCCAAACCCAGCAGATCCCTGCGGTGCACTGCCGCGCCGCTCCTCCCCGGGGGAGGGAGGGGAGTCTCCCCGGCTCTGCCGCTTGTTGGGTCCCTGCTGGAGGAGCAGTGGCCCGAATCTGCCGCGGGTCACAGTTTATGGCAACCCCGAGCTGAGAGCCTGCGCCTCGGCTCCGTCTCTGCAGCCGGCTTCCCCGCTCCGATACCTGGGAGCTCTGCCGCACTCAGGCACCCCCGGTCTTTCTGTGACCCCGAGGGTCCTGAGACCACACTGTTTCGCGAGGGTTCCACCCCCCACTTAGCCACTGGAGCGACGTCCCTCAGCGGAGCCGACTTCTAAAAGTTCCGATTTTGTGCTCCGCGGCTCTATCACTTGCCAGAAGCTGCGGAGGCCCCCTCCCCCGCCGTCTATCCTCCCGAATATCGCCTCGGATTCACTTCTCTGCACGTCCTACCTTCCAGGAAGTGGTTGCTTCTCTGTTCAGAGAGTTTTTGCTACTCTCTTCTTCGATCTCTTGTTGAGTTCGTAGGTGTTCAGAATGGTTTGATCCCTATTCAGCTGAATTCCCGAAACCAGACGAAATCCAGGTCTCCTACTCCTCCGCCATCTTGCTCCACCGCCCCCCCCCCCCCCGGTTAAGTGGAACTCTTACCCCCTACACCTCTTTCTTCTATGTGGACTTTGTCCTTTTTGGAGATTGTTTGATGTCCATGAAGGCTTGATATTGGGAGAAAATGAAATGGCCTGATTTGCTCCTGCAGAACTCTGGATGGGTGTTCTGACCTATTTCTAGAAGAGCCATTTGGAGTTTGTCCAGAATTTGTGTTGGCCAGCACATAGCCAACCCACGGTTTTACATAGTGACTGTGTGAATGCCTTTGTAGATGAAAGAAGTTAGAATGAAGGGGAAATGAAGTCTGCTGTTTGTGTGTAGGTGTGTGTGTTAATCCAGCAAAAGGGAATTACCAGTGCATTCCTAGGCATGTGGTTGGGGAGGGTGGGGATAAATCCCTTGCTTTCATTAGCCCATGAATTTTATAAATGAGGAAACTATGATTGGGAGAGGCAAGGGCCACTGAGTGCCTGTGGGGAGCAATTCTCTGCACTGGATACATACTCCTTGCTGTTGCGCTGTGTTAATAGGACAGGTAGTTGTTAGATTTTCCTGTTCTGCCAATAGCCATGTTATTGATGTTTTTCTTGGCTTGGCTCTTTCTCGCCCACCCACCACTCTCCGCCAAAGAATGCACTCTGAGAAGACTCCTCCAGTCATGGCACTGCAGAGAAGTTGAACATCCCAAACCAACTTTGCCATGGACTCTCTCTGACCTATAATGGGTCACATCCTTGCCTCTAATTTCTTCTTAGCTTAAAGGGAATGGAAATTGTGCTGACCGACCCCATGGGGTGCTGGATGAGAATACATCTCAAAGTGAGTGTTCTGTTGTCAGTGAAATGCCATAAAAATGTTCAATATAATGGCTGATTATTTTTCTTTAATCTTAAATAGATACCTAGAATGGAAGGTTCCATCTTGGTAGCAGAAATTCATTATCTTGGAAAGAGTTTAATGACTGCTGTGCAAATGAACTGAAGGAAGTTAAATTGTGGAATGGGAAGGAGCTGAGAAAAGTGAAATGAGTTGTGCATTAAATTTAGATAAACACAATTATGTGTAACTGGATTATCACGTGTGTAGGCAGGCGCTGTATATTAGGCACCTGCGTTTTGAATAAAATCGATTCAGGTGCACGCGCTTGAAATCCTTGTCAATTCAGAGTTGTGCCTGAGCCACTGCCCAGGCACACATGGGGCAGCCAGGGAAACGTCTGGTATCCCGGTCTCCCGCTGGAGAGGTTTAAAGGGCATGGGACCAGACTGAGCAGCCCAAGACCATTTCAGGAAACTGCTAATGCTAACAGAAAGTCCCACTGTCTTTCACATACAGCTTCCTTCTGGGTTTTTTCATTTCAACTGAGTCAGGAAAGTGGTCCTGGAGTCCAGGGGAGTCCAATGACCTACTTACTCCATGACGAGGACAGATGCCGAATGGTAGATGGCAGATGACATCAGAGGTTGTTGGGGACTGGGCCTGCCTGCCATTCAAGTCTCTGTGGCTGCCGAGGCCTTAGTGATGGAAACACAAAATCTCTTTGAACCTCCCTGTAGATGGATAGAATTAGGCCCAGTTCCTTCTTACTCTTTTAGGTCCAAGTCTGTAAGTCAGAGTCATCTTCAGATCAAAAGAGAGCCCAGCCTCTGATCCCCGGGTGTCTGTAGGAACCATCAGAGCCAGCCGGCCGGTACCTCGCTTTCAAGGAGGACAGATGTAGAGAAACAACTGTCAATACCCAGTTAATTCCTCTTGGCATCTTTTATTTCAAATGCAAAGCATCCTCAGGATTAAAATAAATGCTACCAGTTACGGGGATGCATTAAATAAATAACTGTTTTCCCTTGCTTGATCCTATAATACCCCTCCACTCAATGGATAAATACTAAGCCCTCCTCTGGGTGATTTGAGATGAACTGTATATTGTTACACAAACTAAAGTAAGCTTCCTTTTTTCTCCCCTTTTGTTCCTCTCCTCTGCCCTCCTCCCCTTCCCCATTGCAGGTGATACTTATCCTGACCAAGCTATATGACTTCAATCTGGGGAGCGTGACTGAGAGCTCACTGTGGAGGTAAGTGGATTAGAGGTTCTTAACAAGCTACTCTGGCCTGGCTTACGAAAAGAATGCCAGCCACACAGTTGGGAAGCACGTTTTGGAAGAGACAGAAAACAGTCCTCCTCATGGGAGACCTCTTTAATGCCCGGGGTGGAATGGATGGCCCCACCTGTGAACTCCTCTGGCACTCTGCTTATCTTTTTGGGGGCCTGTCACACCTTCTGCTTGGCAGGGTTGTTGCTCTTGTGTTCCTGCCATGTCTCATTCCGCTTGAGGAACACACGTCTGGTTAGAGAGAGCGGACGAGCCTGCCCAGAACAAGGAGAGCCTGCTGGAGGCCGGATTCCTGATTTGGGTGTGAGTCTTGGCCCGCGGACTGTTTCTAGTCCTTTGCATCTGTGAGCTCTGGTTCTGACCCGTACTTGTGGGAATAGACACATGTGGGGGTCAGGTCCACACAGTGGCCTTCGTGGGCTCCTTAAAAAAAATCAACATATATATGTGTTAGTAAGTTTAATGTACATATTTAATAAATACTATATACTTAACAAGTTCATATATTTAATAAACGTTTACTATATATTTAACTTCATATATATTAAAATGTATATTGGTAATACATATATTTTAATATAGAGAGAAATGTATATTTTATGTCAGCATTGGTATAAAGATAAATGTATTAATATAGTATAGGAAAACTTTTTTCAGCCTAAAAGTTCATTGAAATCTTGCCATTTGCAACAGTGTGGATGGAACTAGAGGGTATTATGCTAAGTGAAATACATCAGTCAGAGAAATACAAGTATCATATGATTTCACTCATATGTGGAATTTAAGAGACAAAACAGATGAACATAGGGGAAGGGAAGGAAAAATAAAATAAGGTAAAGACAGAAAGGGAGGCAAACCATAAGAGACTCTTAACTCTAGGAAACAAACTGAGGGTTGCTGGAGGGGAGGTGGGTGGGGGGGATGGGGTAACTGGCTGATGGACATTGAGGGCACGTGATATGATGAGCACTGGGCATTGTATGCAACTGATGAATCACTAAATTCTACCCCTGAAACTAATACTAAGCCCTGTGCCCATTGTGCCTACTGGGTAAGTCTGTTCTGTTGGGATGCTGGTCGCAGGGGATGGGGAGAGGGAGGATGTAGGTGGGTTCGGTCAGAGAGAGCTTGAATGAAGCCGTGACCCGAGGTGTTGCTCTGGATGGGGAGCACCGGTGCACTCACCCGTCTGTATGCCCCACGCGCGTGCGCGCACACACGCACATACTCAGGGCCGACAGTCACACAGGGCAACAGCAGATTGCATCAGTCACCGTGAGTCGGCACTTCACACTCTGGCAAGGCTGTGTGTGTCCATCCCTTTTGCTTCGTCATTGGTAAACCCTGGGAGGACACTGTCCCCAGAGGCCATTCACTTGGCTGCGTCATCATCCCCAGAGCCCTGTCCTGAGGATTTCCTGTGGTCTTGGAACCAGACGGGGCTGGGGCTTGAGTGTCTGTGTGCCTTGCTTCTTCTTCATCTGACCTGTTTGTTTGCAGAGGACTAGCCAGAGTCTGTTTCCCAGGGAGGGGGAGCAGTTAGAGCATCTATTAAATATTTAGGGGTTAATAGCTCATATCGACTCAGGCCTGCCTCCATTTGCACAGGATGTCCAAAACCTAATTTTGCTGCTCAGTGAAAATTGGCAGAGATATAAGTAACCGGGGTTCGTCTAATAGATGAGAGCATGGCTATTTCTACTCACACAGGACTCCCAGGGAATTAGAGCCTCAGAAACCCTCCCCTCAGGTCCAATCCCAGTGATATTGTGCTGATACCTTAAGCCCAACTCCCATGCTGTCTTCTGGGGGCAAATAATGAAACAAGCCAGAAAATCCTGTCCGTACAATGGGCAAGAGCTCTCCCTGGCAGCCCATGTTTGGCTAGTTCTAGGGGCGGGCCAGGCGAAGCCAGGGAACCCAGGCCGGGTGCTTGCAGCTCGAGACCCTTGTGTGATGAAGTGTGTGGCCTTTGGTCATAATAGCCAGTATGTTCCCTGGGGTGTAGCAGAGACTGCAGGCTGCCGAGTGGCCCCGAGAATACCCTGATGTCTGCTTGCCAGGATTCGGGTCGCACCTCGCCCGCCCAAAGAGCTCTGTAACTGCAGGAACCTTACTTAACCTCTCTGTATCAGTTTCCTGGGGCTGCTGTAGCAAAGTACCCCAGACTGGGTGCCCAAAGCAGCAGAAATGTGTTCTCTCTCAGGTCTGGAATCAAGGTGTCTTTAGGGCCACACTCCATTGGGAGGCTCTAGGGAGCACCCTTGCCTCTTCCAGGCTCGGGGTCTGCTGACATCCCCTGTGGGTGCCGTACTCCCTCTCCGCCTCCGTCAGCCCCCAAGGCCCCTCCTCTACGCCCTCTCCTCTCCTGTTCCTTATGAGGACACTTGCCATGGCAATTAGGCCCCCAGGATCATCCAGGATGATCTCATCTTGAGATCCTTAATTACACCTGCAAAGATCCTTCTTTCACACAAGGTTCATCACAGGTTCTGAGGATGAGGATGTTGAACGTATTTTTTCCAGGTGGTCACCCTTCAACCCATTTCTCTTTCCCTGAATGTGAGCTGGGGATAGTGCAGAAGCTCCCTTTGCTCCAACCGTGTTGTCCTTGCCGTTGCTGAGGCACGCCACCTTCTCCCCGTCACAGCCCTTACCCTTGGCTCTCTCTGCTCCCCTCGGTGGGGCCATGGGGCCGGACAGCACCTCGCTTCTTACACTCTCTGTTCGCCTAATCAGGGAGGCCTTTCCCTCGGACTTCATATTCCGTCACTCAGCTTGCATTTTCCTCCTTAGTACTTACCACCATCTGGCATGCTAAATATTTTACTTATGGATTGATTTATTATCTGCCTACACCCACTAACATCTAAGCTTGTGGAGGGAGAATTTTTGTCCCTTTTAATTCAGGGCTGTACTCTCAGCACCCAGAAGAGTATCTGGCACACAGGAGATCCTTAATGTTTGCTCAGTGAATGAATTAATGGATGGATTGCAAGGATTAAATGAAATAATAAATGTACAAACCCTTAAGACAGTGACTCACATTTAGAAAATGTTCACTTAATTGTAATGACTAATGATTACTGTAACCCTCTGTGTTTGTGTAGTGTTCATTCCATTATTGACTTTGTTTATAAGGATCCACTGATGCGAGGGTCCGTGTGGTGGAAATTATAGGGCACCAACGGGATGTATTCTGTGTTGTGGATGAATTAGCAGAGATCTTCAGGGGATCAGGAAGGGGAGAAGATTGATTTAGATTGTTGTTCCTTGTGCTGATTGGAGGGAACTGAAGCATCAATTTCTAGCGACACAAGGATGTTCTTTTGTAGATAAGATTCTCTGAGCTGGGTGTTAGACTGACGAGTGGGTTATGATTTGGCAAATGATAAAGTGGAAAAATGTCTCTAGCAGAGGGCAATGGCCAGGTAAGGCTGGGCTGCAGGAGAGAAAGGAGCCAAGCAGGAGGCAGAGCAGCTCGCCTTGCACCAGGGAGGAAGCGTTTGGGGTCTCGTCAGGTGCACAGAAGGGGCCAAACCAAAGAGGGTAATGCAGAGTGTGGTTTATAGAAAATAGACTCATATGGTGTGATTTGGGATTTGGAAAGCTGGTGGATAATGTAGGCTTTCCCTCTGGGTAGATGTTCTATACGAATGTATTTCTGTGCTGTGTTTCCAGGGGTCCATAGGTCTGATAAAACCCTGCTTAGCAACCCCTGGAGAGGACTGGAGTGAGAAAAGGGGCTGCTTCTAAACTTCAGGGGAATTTTCCAGTGTGCTGGGGCCTCACAGAGTTTCTTCAAACCTTTCATTGTCTGTCCTACTCATCCCCTAAAGATCTGTGTCTCCCATTCTCTTTTCTGTCCTGATAATGATGATATATTTTGCAGTTCGAGCCTAGAGCACTGCGATCTCCCTCACTAATACAGTGTGCAGAGAAAAGAAACTAAATTAAACACACACCCTTTCAGTTTCATGATTTGGCCCAACATGCTTAACCAAGTTGAAATTGAATTTGGGAATTCTTCAGTTTTCTGTATAGGAATAGCCTGTCATGACAAGATGACATTCCCTGCCAGGTTACGGTGTCATAGAATTATTCGCCTCACTGGATTAATAATTCAGAGGCCATCTACTTCTAAATAGACAAAAGACTGTTTAAAAGCATTCAATAGGGGGCCGGTAGCTTGGCCCCCGTGACATTCTTTCTGAAACTCCTCGGTGCTGTTACACTGAAGGGGGTCATACTTTGTTCTCTGCCACCACAAGGATGGCTGTGTAAGCTGGTTATTTGCACAACCATCTGTTGGTATCCCTTAGTCAAAGGGCATTTTCCATATAGGATTCAAGCTTATAGACTAATGAGGTTGGGGACTGACACTTTTTAAAAGACCCAGGGCTTCACGCTCAGGGCATTTTCAGTCCATAATATGTCAAGTCTGGAGGCTGCCCATCAGTGAGGAGGGGTGCTGACACCTAGCACTGTTAGAGTTCATAGAAGCCTGACCCAAGGAGGAGAGATGCAATAAAAGCAGGGGGCCCAGCATCAGTGGATCGGTTTCCTCCTCATCGAAGTAATTACGAATGGAAGCTCTGGGACTAATGGCCTAGGTCCGAGTCCACGCTCCTCCGCTTAGCCACTGAGTGACCTAGAACACGTTTCTTCAGCTCTCTGTGCCTCTGTGTCCTTACTGTACCATGAGGACCATACTGGCTCCCACCTCACAGCATGGGAATGGGGTTTCGCATGAAATAAAATGCATAAGCTGCCTAGAGAATTGCCTGGCACACAGTGCCTACCCGTGGAAAACACGCAGGGACAGTTGGTCATCATCGTGTCACCTGGTAGCTGAGCTGCTTCTCTCTGCTAGCTCCCCTACCTGACAACAGCAGGAGACACACTGTGCTCTTAGAAAAGCAACTGGCCTGGGGCACCTGGGTGGCTCAGTGGGTTGATCG